TATATTATATATAACATGCCTAAAGTATATGAGACAGAGTTTCACTATCCTTGCCTCTAAGGAGCACTTTGGTTGCATGTTCTCCAAGGGTTTGTTTTCCCTTACAAACCTCTGTGTGTAACCTTCAGACCACTTTCACAGCCTGGGAAGACACCCACATCCTTCATCAGCTGGAGTTCTGGTGAATTTACTCAGGCTGAAGTTCTTTGTGAGGCAATTTAAACTGCAAAAGAGCCTTGAAATTGTGGGGAAAGTTTTCTATCTAGAAATGTGGGGTTTTCCACAAGTGCTTTTGCATTGTCCAGAATATGAGATCTATGCTGTGCATTCAACTGTTGCTAGGTCAACAGAGGGTCCTGACCCTGAATGGGGACCCACAAAGCAGCCAGGCAACTTAAGGTCATGATCTGTGGGGTTGTTTTATAGTCTTGTTCTCATGAAACATGGACTCCAGACAAGGAACCCTTCCCCAGGCAGTGTGGGCTGCAGGACAGTGTACATTGTTTTTGCTTCCTGGTTTTGCTGGGGCCTCCTTCCTGGGTGTGGTCAATGGTTCTTTGTGTCCAGATCACTCCAAAATGGGCTTTGCTGATCTTCTTCCCAGACTCCAGCTAGGGTGTAGGAAGATGCCTGAACAGCCAGAGCTTTGTAAGGATAATGCTTTTCATTATTTCTTTCTGAACCCTTTATAACTTTATGCTTGTGTACTTAGTATTGCATTAGCTACAAGCAGCCTGGTTTTAAAATTCCAGCTGATGGAGGTTTCAAGTCAGAGTCCCTGAGTTCTGTTTTGCCTCTTCTGCCTGTCTTTATTTCCTAGCAATAACTCTGCTGTGTTTGTAACTCAACTGCCTGCCTGTCTTTTCTCCTTCACAGCCTTGGACTGGAAGCAGGGTCACGGGCTGGAAATGGGGGACACTAAATTCAGGCATAAAGTACTTCTCCACTTTACCACCTAGACCGGCCCTTAGGAATCTGTGTCTGCTATTTCAGAAGTGGTTTTCACTCCTTTAGCTGATTTCTGTCAGGTTGTAGGTGAAAGTCCCATGGCAGCGGCACCTGGGGGAACCTTCAGCAAAGGGGGAGCAGGAAGCCAGTGAGCACACTGTAGTCTTTTCACTCAGCCCTCACTGTAGGTGGACAGTCCTGCACTGGACATCTCACTTTGATGGGTGGACTTGTCAGAAAAGGAAATTGTGCTTCTCTATGTGAAAATAGTGCTTCAAGTGTAAAATCAACTTTTAAGACATCTAAAGTATTTGCAGTGTTTAGTTTGGGGTTTTATTGTGGTAAACCCACAGCATGAGAAAATCTTTGGAGTGAAAAGTGGTAGGTTTTAGCATTTATAGGAAGCAGAAAAATTTTAAGGCTAAGGCTCCCTTTTCACTAGCATTTTGGAACCTTTTGCTTGATCTCCTGGATAGCCTAGCCCTTCAAGCATCAGTTATGTGGTTCCAGTTCTTTAACTCTTCTCCTCCTCTTGTTTTGCATTGGCTTTCAGTTGATCGTGAACCCCATGCACGGTGGGAGGAAACCTTCCTAGTCCTGCTCCTGCCCTGTGATTGGTTATAGATCAGACCATTGCGAGTGATTAGATTTTCAGTGGCTGATTTAAAAAAAAAAAGATTACCAGACCTTTCTTCCTGGTTTGTCTTATTCTGAATGCTTCTCTGAAAACTGCTCAGCATCATAGCGACTTGCAGTCTCTCCTGACAGATGGGTGGTGACTGTGTTTGAAATACATTCACTAGAATCCAGCCCAGATCTGCATGGAAAGCAAGGATTCTACCACTAAACCACCAATTCCTCATCTCCTTCCTGCCACTGAAGAATCAGAAGGAGGAGAATCAGTACTAGGAATGGACCCATTAGAGGCCAGCTCCGAGCAAATGAGGGTGGGCTTGCTGGTGTATGTGCTCAGCTGTTAGCAATGTCCTGGAGGCTGGTGAAGCCCTGTTGTCCTGTCATCATTCAGACTTGGACAGAGGCTCCTGGTGTGAGGCTTTCTGGTCCGCCTGAACCATGAGTTGAGCCCAGCAGACGCCCAACCAACTTCAGGTACTGTTTCCATGTCAGTGTTTGGTGTAAGTCAGCCCAAACTTAAATGATCAGAGATGATTCACTGGTCACTTCATGTGGTTGCGAATTATCAGAGGAACTGTGTTTCTAAACTCCAGGCAACTCTCGAGGCTACGATGAGCCTGCACTGTGTGCGTCTACTCAGAATTTCTCACTATTCACAGGGTGCTGAGGTCGTCTATTTATTACTTCACATTTTATAGGCAAATAATGCCTGGCTTGTCATGAGACTTTTTCTCCCCTGGACTCCTTTGGGTGACTTTGCAGTTCCCCTCAGTGATCCCCTCTTGGATCCTGGTACATGCTCTACAATAATTGTCCTATACAGTATTTGTCTTTATGAAATTGAATTAGTTTACTTAGCAGACTGCTCTCCAGTCCCTCCCATGTTAGGTAGTAATTTACAAGATCATTGCTTCTGCATGTTGCATAGTATTCCATTATGGGAATGCACCATAATTTCTCAATCATAGCACTTGTTGAAGGCCATCAAGCCGGTTCTGTAATTCTGCTCCCAGAGAGTTTGTTGTTTTTTTGTTTTTTAATGAAAGCAGATTGCCTTTCTCCTGCAGTCACAGCTAGGTGGGTTCAAACTGTCAGCCTTTTGTTTAGCTGCCAAACACCTAACCATTGTACCACTAGTTGCATTGTTTTGCCTGTATAATAAGGGAACACTGGTCACATCATCTGTAGGGAGTGGCACTGTTAACCTGAATGTAGCTACCATCTGGTGCTGGAGTCCACCAGGGTTTGTGAAGGAGAGAAATGGGCAGTGTTTCCCCAAGCAACTGATAACCTTTGAAAAACCACTGGAGGTTCAGCTATGAGTTAATTCCTACTCAACCACAATGTGTTTGAGTTTTGTAATAAGGATCTGTCTTGGTTTTTTTTTTTCTATTGTGTTGAAACTGACTCGACTTGCCCTCCAGTGGGTTTTCAGAGGTTGTAAATCCCATGAGGGGAGATTGCCCCTGTATCTCCTGCAGAGGGGCTGGTGGTTTCTGCCTGCCTTCAAGTTGACAGCAGAACTCTTTACCAGTCTGCCTTTATTTCACCTAAATCCATGGAGGTCAGTCTCCATCCTGTGCTCACCTGTAAGCATGGCTGTATGTGTGACTAGCATCTTCCACTGGACTTTTCTGCAATAAAGGAAATGTTCTCACTCTGTGACATCCAGTCAGGTGGCAGTTAAGCTTCCTGGGCTCCTGAGCTCACACTCCATCAGTGAAGATCTGGATTTCTAATCTTGCTTTTCTTTTCATTTAAACTTAAATATCTACTTGTGGCTAGTGACCACTAGATTGGACAGCACATTCCTAGTCCAGTGCTTGTCACATTTGTGTTAACCATGTGGAAAGTGACTTTAAGGAAAACAGGCATATAATTTAAGAACAGATACTTCTTGTTGTTATTATGTGTCGTCGAGTCGCTTGCGACTCATAGCGACCCTATGTACAACAGCCCTAAACCCTGCCCTATCCTGTGCCAATCTCATTGCCTCTGACACACCCATCCCGATTACCCCAGTCACTGAATCAATCCACCTCATAGAGGGTCTTCCCCTCCTGTGCTGTCCCTCCACTCTACCCAGCATGATGTCCCTCTCCAAAGACCTGTCTCTCCTGGCAACATGTCCAAAGTATGTCAGGTGAAGCCCCAGAATCCTTGCCTCCAAGGAGCAGCCTGGTTTAACCCTCTCTAGGATGAATCTATTTGTTTTCTTGGCAGCCATTATTATTCAATGATCCTCTCCAGCACCACAGCTCAAAGGCGTCAATTCTCCTTCTGTCCTCCCTAGTCATTGCCCAACTCTCTGATGCATAACAAGTGATTGCAAAAACCATGGCCTGTATCAGGCACACCTTAGTCTCCAGAGAGACAGCGTTGCTCTTGAGTACTTTAGAAAGGTCCCTAACCGCAGACTTTCCCATCGCAATACGTTTTTTGATTTCCTGGCTACTGGTGCCAAGAGTGTTAACCGTGGAGCCGAGCAAACTGAAG